CGACGTGACAAGAACACATTTTTTGCAGTTGATCATAAATCGGAGATTCTGGAGCAATGGCAATGTCCAAGAAAGGTGATTCTGAAGGACTGCCATGAACAGCCTTGTACAGGAAAGAAGATGATCAATGGTTTAGTATCTTGAGTTGGAAGAGAAGGAACCTTGGTTCATCTGGGATAAACCACTGTTAATATGACTTGCCAAATTACCTCTTGCTCTGCTGGCCCTGACAAAAACCTTGGGGTTAAAAACATTTTTCATGTTGACCTGTGCCTTCCTGAAAAAGGAAAACTTTAGCCTACTCTTCAGGCTCATTAATTGCTAGATTTACTAGCTTTGCCTCACTTTTCATTAAAATAGCCCCTGGGAACATGTGGGTCTATTGATGCATAAGAGAGAATGAATACTTAGGCCATTTAAAAATCTTGGTAGTGGACCCAGCACATCCCAGATCTTGTCCGGGTGTTTCTAAGGGAGAAATCGGTCATGTCTTGGACTTTCAGACAATTTTGCCCAGTAAGTAGGCGATTATGGGGTCTACATCCAGGGTTGCACAAACCACATCAGATATACAAACCTGCAGTGATGCAAGTCATCCAGGAAAAGAGTGGTTTGCCCAGGACGTCCAAAAGCATGGACTCATCTGTAGGCAATTTAGTGAAGAGGCACTGGAAGTTTGAAATCTGAAAATGAGTCAGGGGACTCAGATTCCACCAACACCTCCTCTGAACTGAGCTACTCTGAGTCAGAAGATGGAAGGGCCCTTTTTCAAGTTGTTGTTATTGACCGGAAGCCCAATTTTATGGTGTAATCATGCTCTCAATAAAAGGGTTTACCTAATATGGGATTCCTAATTCGTCACAGGGTTGTAGAAGTAAAGGTTCCTTTATTTAGATGTAGGCAAACTTTTGAGGCTAGAAGAGACCACCTTGGGTCTGTCAACCTGGTAGGCAATCCATGTGGCAGGGTTGCAGCAATTGAGGGTTGCTGGTTTTTAAGATTAGCATGGGAGATCAGTTGGATGATGGTGTCAGATATCATACCCATAGCAGAAATTATGGCTTGTGTGACTGATTTAGACATTGTGGAATCAAGCAAGGAGTGATTTTCTTCATAGTTTAGGTTGTCCGGATAGACATTCTCATCTCCAAACACATCATGTGTCATAGACTCAACAGGGTGAGACCAGTGCAAGACTGGCTAGCAGGGGAAACACTGTGGGACTAGGAGAAGTAACTATTTGTGAAGCATAGCCGTAAAATCAGAAAAGCACTAGCCACCTGTGCTGTCAAATACAGCGCCAAAATATGGCCAGTGCAAGCACAGAACTGATAGGGGTAGAGGATCTGGGAAAACCACACTGTGAGACAGGCAATCTCAAAATCTACTAAACTAGAGTCAATCTCAGGGTGAATAAAGCACTAAATAAAGTCCTATAAGACTGCTCAGATCAGGCTGTAATACCAGCAAGCACAAGGAAATATACAGCACCACAAACACAACAGCCTCGCTGGCAGTCTCCAGGAGAGATAGCATTAAGATGAGCATAAAAAATAGAGTCCCAAAACAAGAGAGAATGGCTCCATGGATCATGTGTGAGTTGCCCACCAACAGCATCAGCTAATTTGGAAATTGGCAGCAAAGATGCAAACACAACCAATGTAGTGAACGCAAAGCGAGTCGTGGACTGTGAATGCAACGCCGCAATGGATGACAATATAACCGCTAGACAAATCTGGGATGTGGTAGTGAGAGCAGGGAAAGAGCCATGGAAGGAGCCACAAGCAGGGAGTTGTAATGAAATAAATCAAGGAAAACAACACACAGAACATCAGATATAAACCAAATACATAGAAAACATGAATGCTGCAAGAGTACTTACCTGAGGGAGCAGCAGCAAAGAAAGAGGAGGTGGTTTAAGTCATGTGACTGCTTATGTAGGCAGGTTTATACTGATTGGCTAATGTGATTGAAGCCTTTATTACCCCTTTGAGTTTTCCTCACGTGTTCATATATTTTCTATATTTGTTGCTGAGGGAAAAAATAAAGAACGCAAAATATAATCCTCTGTGCCTTGAAATAAAATTGATATTTATAATTTAGAAGTATTAATTTTGCATTATCAATGTGGCTGAGGAAGAAATGGTGATGTCAAGAGAAAAGCCCTGATTTTTTTGAACGAGTCCAACACAGTGTGACAAAATATAGACACAATCAATAGACTCTTGGCAACATAGCCACAACATTGAGCTGTATTGCTTAAATTGCCTCTTTAATCTCTTATTGTATGTGTATGCCGCACATTAAATGTGGAATATAGAAATACGTGCTCCCTAGAACGTGCCTGAAAACAAGAGAAATCTAACTATGTCATTCCTAACATACCTTTTATATTCATATAGTCAGTGGTGTGGATGTGATTTAAAGCCGCTCTGTCAAGCCATATTACCTTCCTGAAATGGATTCATCCTCTCCCCCTCTCTCTGAATCAGGTCTTATCATTTCAGTATTCTTTACTCGAAATACAGACGCGTAATTAGGGTCTACTTTATCTTCTGTATTTGTTCTATGCCTGACAATGCTTGACATTGGGTGGAGCTTTACGACCATGTTCTTGCGATTCCTCCTCTGTGCTTCATTGAATATCGTCCAAACAGGGGGCAGAGTGTGGGCAGCAGAGGGCAATGATATTTTGCATTGCAAGATGATGACACACTGGGAAAAAAGATCCAGTGCCACAAATAAACAAGAAGACAAAGGTAAAACTTTGAACCCTGAGTTATAATTTACACATTGGGGGGAACGGGACTTAAACAAAATATCAGATCGTGCCATTACAAACGCACTTTAAAGCAACAGATTGGAGTATACATAGAATGTGACGGCAGATAAGAACCATTCGGCCCATCTAGTCTGCCCAATAATATACTGTGTATTGATGTATACTATTCCTTTAAGTGCCTAAGTACATTTTAGTACCATTGTTAGAATTATCTTTAAAGAAAAGATTTGCAAATAATCTGTCGGAGAACACAGTTATTGCTTAAGGTTCTTTTAGCACCTGGCAAATATTAATCTGGCACAGTAACGGAACGCAATACATTCCAGTTGCCATGAGGTTAAATGACGGACATTCACACGCACCACTAATTCAGTGAAGCCCAGCTCCAATAAATGACAATGAGACACATATTGCTAATGTCTTAAAATGTGTAAATTTCATGCAGATAGGCTAATTTTGGAGGTTGATTGCTGAAGAAGAAAAAAAAAAGCCTGTAATAAAGTGTCAGAGCCATTACCAATCGTTAACGACCACTCACTTGCTTGGCTGTTAACGATCTATAATTGCTATCACACTTTAGTGAACATACAGCAACCACTATACTGTACAATTAGTTTCACTTTTCCCCGGCTCTTAGTTAATTACCTTAATCTATTTATTTTAATGTTTAATTATAAATAATTTCATATGCCTGTTACACAGGTTTAGTCTAATTGAAGAGTATGACTTTATTTATTTATTTTATCGCTCAATCCAACACCATACAAAGTATTCGATAAAGAGCCCCTCATCCCAGCATATCACTTAGAGGGGAGAGAGAAAAAACCCTCGGAGTGGGCCTTTACAGTGGAGGCATTTTAGCAGATGATACTGAGCTATGTTTGCTGTCTATACAGAAAGCACCAGCATATAAAATGGCAGAGAATTTGCATTACCTATCATCCATCATTCTTTGGGAGTGCTGGAAAAACTGTGAGATCTGCTGCAAAGAAACCCAGCCGTCTACTGACAGATTCTTATTTAAGTGACTGTGAATACAACAATTCCACAAATAATTTGTCAAGTGTGTGGCTGAACTAGCTCTGAACTCTGATAAATACCAACTCTCTTCTCTGCTACAAAGACATGATGTTCTTTGTGCGGACCGTGAGTAACAAGCAATAGGATGGAACAATCGATGCCACTATATATCTGCTTCTTTGTCGTTACCAGAAACTTCTTAACGGCCAGCTTCCAACCATACCCCCACCCCCACCTTACCCCCTATTCCCTTCCAAATAATCAGAGTACCATGGAAAAAAAAGACACATTTTTAGAATAGCGTACTGTATTCAACAACATATGCTGTTTTAAGCAAACCGTCTCTGCTTTTATGGAAGGCACTAAACATTTAACTATATGTAGGCGAATAAAGTCTTAACAGCAGTTTAGAACCTAATGGGATTCCGGTAAATGATAGATTCTCTCGTGGATATTTTAAATGGAGACGACTGAGGTCTGCTGGAAAAAAAAAATCTAATAAAAAGTGCAGCGACACTCTGAGTGTGTGACACACTCCATGAAAATCGCCTTTACATCACGGACCACTTTAATACGTCCTGATATTTATTTAAAACTGCGTCTGCATTTATGGATTCTGCTCCTGTGCTTAAACTGATGTGCATTAAAGAAGGAGGGGAAAAAAATCCCCTTTTAAGAAATGCAAATCTAATCAGTCCTTAAGTCTGCAATATATACATAAATGTCTCTTGCAGACATAATTTAGTATGCATTATTAATTTATTTTTCATAAAGCTTTCCAGCTACAAACAGGGTAAGTGGAAGTGCATTTCCCACACAGATGATAGCATTCATTTGTCAGTATACTGCAAGAGTGAATAGAAGAATGATTTCAGTTCTATCGAGAAGTATGCTATATGTAGGCGCTTCTTCCAACGGCTACATCCTTCGCCGAATGAGACACTTCTCAACAGTGGAACGAAGTGACGCGGTCACTGATAACACATTTTATTTATCTCATATTTTATATATTTCTAATACACTGGGCACTTAAACTTTAGTGATTTCCAAGATTAGTAGGTATAATTATCATGTAAAACCAGTTTGTGTGATGATAGCGGACTGCGTGAACTGGGGGTGGTTAGTGAAACAGCACCTCCTGCCAGATTATGGCAAGTGACTTCTGATTATGGGAGATGGATGTAGCACCATTTGTGCCTTAATGCTTAGTGAGCAGTAACATAGTATGGCAGTCGAATGTAGCTCCCTCTATCACACGATCTAAAGCGATCAGACGCTTTAAATAACAGTTGGATACAGCACCCTCTGTCACATGGTGTACAGCGAGAAGCCTCTGTGAGTGGCGGTTGGATACAGCACCCTCTGTCACATGGTGTATAGCGAGAAGCCTCTGTGAATGTAGGTTGGATACAGCACCCTCTGTCACATGGTGTATAGCGAGAAGCCTCTGTGAGTAGCGGTTGGATACAGCACCCTCTGTCACATGGTGTACAGCGAGAAGCCTCTGTGAATGGAGGATGGATACAGCACCCTCTGTCACATGGTGTACAGCGAGAAGCCTCTGTGAGTGGCGGTTGGATACAGCACCCTCTGTCACATGGTGTACAGCGAGAAGCCTCTGTGAATGTAGGTTGGATACAGCACCCTCTGTCACATGGTGTATAGCGAGAAGCCTCTGTGAGTGGCGGTTGGATACAGCACCCTCTGTCACATGGTGTACAGCGAGAAGCCTCTGTGAATGTAGGTTGGATACAGCACCCTCTGTCACATGGTGTATAGCGAGAAGCCTCTGTGAGTGGCGGTTGGATACAGCACCCTCTGTCACATGGTGTACTGCGAGAAGCCTCTGTGAATGTAGGTTGGATACAGCACCCTCTGTCACATGGTGTACAGCGAGAAGCCTCTGTGAATGGCGGTTGGATACAGCACCCTCTGTCACATGGTGTATAGCAAGAAGCCTCTGTGAGTGGCGGTTGGATACTGCACCCTCTGTCACATGGTGTACAGCGAGAAGCCTCTGTGAGAGGCGGTTGGATACAGCACCCTCTGTCACATGGTGTATAGCGAGTAGCCTCTGTGAATGGCGGTTGGATACAGCACCCTCTGTCATATGGTGTATAGCGAGAAGCCTCTGTGAATGGGGTTGGATACAGCACCCTCTGTCACATGGTGTACAGCAAGAAGCCTCTGTGAGTGGCGGTTGGATACAGCACCCTCTGTCACATGGTGTACAGCGAGAAGCCTCTGTGAGTGGCGGTTGGATACAGCACCCTCTGTCACATGGTGTATAGCGAGTAGCCTCTGTGAATGGCGGTTGGATACAGCACCCTCTGTCATATGGTGTATAGCGAGAAGCCTCTGTGAATGGGGTTGGATACAGCACCCTCTGTCACATGGTGTACAGCAAGAAGCCTCTGTGAGTGGCGGTTGGATACAGCACCCTCTGTCACATGGTGTACAGCGAGAAGCCTCTGTGAGTGGCGGTTGGATACAGCACCCTCTGTCACATGGTGTATAGCGAGTAGCCTCTGTGAATGGCGGTTGGATACAGCACCCTCTGTCATATGGTGTATAGCGAGAAGCCTCTGTGAATGGGGTTGGATACAGCACCCTTCAAACAAGACATAGGGCAATTGCCAACAAATGAATGCCAGAATCTGTTTCTTTGCAGAATAACACACAAATCGAACAATGTTAATGCTATGCATTATGTTAATTCTTGCATTGTGGACATTCTTGGATTCCTGGGTGTGTAGATTAGTTCTGTACAGTAAAATATCTTCAGCATAGAGTACATACTGAAACTGTGTGTGTGTATTTAATGTTGTATATTAATACACTTTCATTTATAAATTTGCTTGCAATTAGCTTAGCTCAATCTATAGACTAAATGTTGTACATACAGTATAATGCCGTCACAGTTTTTGATTTTCTGTCAACAGAACATGGCAATCAGAGAGTTAATACCATATAAACTCCAACATGCCATTTACCAGGGCTCAAAAACACAGGACAGGAAGGGATCGTAAATGGGATTCTATTATCGTCAATTAGGCTTAAACTTTTGACTCTGATATAATAATGTCTATAGAAATAATTAAGTGTGTGGCATATTAACTGGTTCTAATGCAAAATGCTAATTATTTATTGTTTAGAAAGCATTTAAATAATGCACTAGCGAGCACACTAATGCTATCGTGATTTTCCAGTCATTAACCTAACCAAAATTTGCATTTTGGGATTATAGCCAAAGACTTACATGTATTTTTCAGAGGCCTTGTCCCATCTTAATCTGCCTGTCGTTAATCAAACTTGGTCAAGTTACATACAGAACATTTTAGTGTGGGATACAATGAGCAATAATTACAACATCAAAGAAGTTGTTACAGTTTTTTTTTTTAAAAGAAATAATGATTAATGGATGTTAACATGGCTAAATAAATATAGTTGTTTTGCCAAATTATGAAATGCCCTATCTTTTTTTTTTTTCTGTTTTCTAGCAGGTTTACCAGATAGAACTTGTTTTTATCTCCGTCTTAGGTCCACTTTGAATTGTCTTAGTTGCAATCTTGGATTCCATTTATCTACAATGAAGTTCTAGAAACATATGACTCTCTCCATTTAGGGTTTTAAAAAAGCTTGTGTGTTATATGTACTGTTAACCATGACTGCTATACTTTTTACTACAACCATAGTTTGAAAACATAGTTATTGGGTAATGAGCAAACTCTCTATAATTGTGGGTACGTTTAATACATTGCAACTGAAAATGCACTTTTTAAATGCTGACTGTCTTTCGTAAAGTGATGCTGAAATGTCACTGTTTGAATAAGAATGAGATCTACCTCACATGCTGCAATCACATGCTTTGAATTGTGTTAGCTGGGAAATCCCTCTGCTTGTGTCAATATTGACGTTGGCAGTGAGAGTCCCTCTGGTGTGGAATTAAGGAGTGGTATTAGAGGGTTGATTAGGGAGTGGGTTGGGATAGAAAGGTATACATGTGGGGTATCACTGTACTTGAGGACAGCAGCAGAATACAAGTATGTGGTGTTTACAGTAGTGGAACAGTGAATTTCTCCAAAATAAAACTTGTGTGTATGGGGAACACACACACACACACAAAATAATAAATAGTGCTCTAGTTTCTGGACTGGGAGGTGGTTGCAAGTTCTTTGGGGAAGGAGGGGGGGAACATAGCCTGTATGTTGACCCATGCTGACACTTATGGTTCGGGGCTATGTGATCCCTCTGCGGCGGAGGTCAGCGGGTAACTTAGTGTAGGGACGTATGATAGTGTCCCCTGGCAGGGTCATTCATCCCTGGCTGGGTGTACATCTTGGCAGTTTGTTAGTCTACCGGGATCTTGTGTAAGTATGCATCGCACTGACATTGGCATAGCTATGCCTTGGCAATGTTTGTCAACGTGTTATGAAACTCTTCTGTGGTTAACCTATGTAGGTTGGAGCCTAAGTGGGTGCGTGCAACCCTGTTGTGTGATAGCGCTAGTTGTGAGTCGGTGCAGGTTAGGTAGAAGTGGCTCTGTGTCGGTAGGTCCCCATTTCCTAGGGGTGAGGGCGTCACTGGAGCGGGAAGGGTCGGTCTTGTGGGAAGCGAGGTGTGTATGTGAATCCTACAGTATAACTAAAACAGAAATTAAACTAATTGAAACAAAACACAAGGTAACACAGTTCTGTTTGGTTGATATTGGGCGGCTTGATCAAGCTGAAGGCGGCTGGTGATGGGGCCCAGGTCATGTCGTAGCGTTTCTTTTCTCCCTGGGCTGGAAGCTTGCCACCTTGTTGCTTTTGCTAGAGAGTCCCAATATGTCCAGTATATTTTGGCCTTCTTGGGGGGTCGTTGCCTTATGTCGTTTTCCATCCGTTGTCACCCATAAGGATCTGGGAGTCGCCCAATTGTAGGTTATTCCTGCTGCATGTAGTGGTTTGGTAATCGGTTGCATGTCTTTGCGCCATAGAAGTTTGGCCCTGCTCAGGTCTTGGAAGAATGAAAGGCGGCATGACTCAAACTCATAGGGGGTCTTCCCTCGCAGTGCAGCCAACAGCCCCAGTTTATCTGACATCATTTGACACCTGAGTATAATGTCCCGTGGAGCTGCGTTGAGGGCTTGCTGGGATTTGGAGATTATGTAAACCCCGTCAAATGTGAATGTTTTGGCCCATCTTGTCGGCAGTACCGCGGTCACTAGGTGCCGAATGAAGTGAGGCAGTTCCTCTAGTGGCACGGTTTCTAAAATTCACCTGATTTTGATATTCTTACGTCGGCTCCTGTCGTCCAGTAGGTGAACTTGGTTGGAGAGATTTTCCTGAGCCGTTTGCTTTTGTCGTATTGTGTCGTCCATCGTGTGGATGCTTAGCTTCAGATCAGCAAACGTCTCCCTCAGTAGCTTGTGTGCGTGCGGCCACTGCCTGCACTTTTGTGGTGAGTGCTGCCAGGTCTGCTTCCCACATTTGTTTACGGTTTTGTTGGAGGCCTGCCAGCATGGTTTTAATGTCCTCTTTAGTGGCTGGGGCGCAGTCATTTTGTGCCAGTGATATTTTGTGCCACTGGTGGGGGCTGTCACGTGTCTTCCTCATCTGACGGTACAGGTGAGGCCTCAGGGGGGTTGGGGCCTGAGACACCCTGGGTGTTTTCCGCATTTGACTAATATCGCACCGTGGCTTTAAGGTGGCTGGGGTCTGTTTTGGGGTTTCCCGTCCCATCTCACCTGTGTTGTGCCGGTCTGTCTGCTGGTCGTCTAGATCTGGTATTTACCACGGCCAGCCCCCCTTCGCACTCTCCCTGTGCTATCTGCCCGTGTGTTTGGCCTTGCTGCCTCGCCATCGAGTTTTCATGCTGGGAGTCGAGTCAGAAAGAACTGCATCAGCCTTGCTAGGGAGGTGTGGCACTTGCAGTGGTGCCGTGTGTGATCCCGTGTTTCACTTGATAATCGTGATGTTGGTGCATTTAGTTTGCCTCAGCTTAGAGCTCCGGGAAATGGCATTCACTGCGGTGCGGTGTCAGGCCCCGCCTCCCCAAAAACTTTTTTTATTTTTATTTTATTAATCTATACTAATTAGTGCATCTATTTTGGGTTCGGTTTCTTTAGTTGCACTTGTTGTGTGTGAAATTATGAAATGCAAAACTGAGGCTTTTTTTTTTTTTCGCTTTATAAATTTGTATTGAGTTTTCAAACTCAATGCAAATGTATAAAACAAACAATATGCCATAGTCTAATACATGCACACAACTAGATTTTTATGTTACAACAGTTATCTTTTAATTTTTAAAAAATATTTTATTCATATTTACTTTTGTGTTATGTATATAGATATATCAAAAGAAACCCATATTTCTCCTTTAAAAATTATATAAAATACATATAGGTGTCCTTGGTAATATTAATGCGTGACAAAAGTACTAAAAGGTCTTGGTTACAAATGCATCACATCTCAAAAGAACTTTCATCCTTAAAGGGTTAAGAGCCCCCTATTGGACAAGCCCCCAGCATGGAACCATATTTTATATTTTATTCCATATATCTACTTTCAACCATTTCATGTGTATGTATTTATTTTTTAAATATTATTAAAACCCGATTCCATTAGAACAGGGAATTCAAACTCTGGGCTTTCCATAGATTTATGGTCTATGACTCCCAGAATTCTTTGAATGCAATAAATTGCCAGATAATCATGGGAGTTGTAGTTTGAGATGCCTGCATTAGAATATGAAGACAATCTTATTAAGACACGCGAGTATAATTGCTCCTTTACATGTTCTGCTTTGTCCACATGACCACTATGATCAGTGGCATCCATGCCTTACAGTGCTAACTAGCCTGATATATTAACAGTGAAAAGCTATTTAGACCTCATTTCACTGCAAAATGACTATTGATGGATCATTTTTATATGTGTGTGCCTTGACTATACTAAATCCTATCACAACTAAGTGTAATGTCAACTACACTCCACATAGTGAATTGTACGTGTGAGGTCATACAGAAAATCCCACCATTAAAAAATTATATTAAAGCATTTTCTGAACATTATCACCACCCCCTCACAGAATATGAATTTGCAATCTATAACAGTATGTGCTAGTTTCTTTTTATAGATTTATTGTGATCCATGATGCAGGTATTGTGGTTGTTAGGGTTAGGACTTGACATTAGGTATCTGCCTTGAAGATGCTGTGAGAAGCAACTCTAGTCACTGACATCATGGACAATAGAGAATCACTGGAGCCACTGTCCACAGACCCTTGAGGAGCAATATTCTCCCTAACTTATGTCCCAAAAACCTAATTCCTCCTTAACCCTTTTTTTTTTTTTTTGTTTTTTGTTTTTTAAATGCTTATCATTTTGTTCTCTACATGTACCTCTAGAGATTGTTACAAAAGAGCAAACTTCTATTTCATGAAACCACAGCTCTTAGACAAACCAGGGGTATTTTAGAAGTATGTGTTGTGTTGAATACCTCAGACGTTGAGTCTTTTCATTAGATATGTTTTCCAGCTACTGACCGATCAAAGAAAATCATATTTGTGCAAGCATTGATAC